TTCTATCGAACCCTAGTTGGCCAAAGACACTATGTCCCTCTTGATGAATGAAGACATAAAAAACTCCAATGGGATCACCGATATCCGGACTAATTTCAGAAGCAGTGATGCAGAGACTAGAAGCCATCAATCTACCTGTGATCAAACCAAAAATTTGGATCCGATACGTAGACGATACTTTTGCCATGATTAAAAAAGATGATATAGAAATCACTAACAGTTTGATCAACAACGTTTTCAGTGACATCAAATTCACAATGAAGAAAGAGTCAAACAACCAACTAATATTCCTGGATGTTCTAGTGAATAGAACAAATGCCTGAAAACTGGAAACCCAAGTGTGCAGGAAGCCAACATACACTGACCAAGTCATCAACTTCACTAGCAACAGCCCAACAGCCCACAAGGTCAATTGCGTGCAAACTCTATTCAGAAGAGCGAGAATACACTGCAGTACAACAACTTCACGGAGAAATGAAGAAAATTACTTGATGTCCATCGCACAAAAATATATCAGAAGATGCCTATCTCATATATCATCAACTACCATACATCAGAATTCACGACAAGATTACTGAAACCACTTAGAATTGGTGTCGGGTGCCTCATAAACCAACAAATTCCCTGAAAACACTATTATGCAGACCAAAGAATGCAACAATCAAAGAAGACACACCGAATATCATTTACAATATCAACTGCAATAACTGTAGTCAACACTGCATTACACAAAGTGGTCAACCACCTTCGTCTTCATCTACATGAATACCAATTAGTTATTAAACATCATACACAACATTTCATCACTCATTGCTCAATACACGTGAATAACAACTATGAACATAAATCCAATGTTGACAATGTAGAAATGATGGAGGGAGAGAGGAAACACAAAGAATATCATGAGAGAATTCCTAGAAGCTTGGCATTCAGATCAGATCAGTCAGTCAGTCAGTCAGTCCGTCCATCAGCAATCAATGGATGTATGGACATAGACCCAATCTATGAACCAATGAGAAAAATGATAAACGATGTGAAGGTGAGAGGTCAAGCAGATGAAGTGACAACAGGAGAATGTATACAGTCTGTGAATGACACAACAATGAAAGGGAACAAGGAATCTCACGGAAAGCAGTTGGTCATGATGAGCTGGTGAATCAGTCAGGGAGAGATGCTGACAGGTCAATTTATACAGAAGTTAATGGTGTTGATGTTGCTGTGTGGGAAGACGATGAAAGCTCCACGACTAAGCAACCCAGCTCAGGGAACACAACACAACCAAGATTTGTTTAAAACTCTAGGGCAGTATACACCAACAAACCTATTGGGGGTTGAACCTAGGTCTTGCAGCGAGTGTGGTAGCCATTTAGTCACTGTGTCGCTGTTCAGTGGTTCATATCCTCTTACTTCTGTCAGTTCGAGTTGTAGTAGCATCATTATTCAACGCCATCGTTGATTATTTGTCTTTACGCTCAACCTGCTGTGCCCTAGAGGTTGCAACTTCTCATTAGATATGCTAGAAATCTACCTCAAAGTATGTCACTAATTAATACTAGGCAGTATTTCAGTTAAGAAGTTTACAGTGAGATCAATCGATTTCAAGGCAGTATTGCAATCCAGCAGGTGAATGGTAATGCACTGTCTGCGAGATTGATCCCTGGTGGAGTCACGTATGTGCACTTTTAAGGGATCTTATATTAAGATGAAATGGCTTTCCAGTACTCTCAAGTCTTCAGCTTTCCTCTAACTGACATAAGCCAGTAATGAATAATAGCTCAACAATGAACAGATCTCCACAAACTGTAATCACAAATAAGTATTATTTACTTAAAATAAATAATGAACATTCGACAGAGTTAAGTTTCCTTCTTCAGTGATATACAGTTATATAAAAAAATGTGAGAATAGAGAATAGATAATTCAGTAAAGAAAATTTTCTTTTTCGACGATATCATTTTCTAAAGCTGGACAATCCTATTTATATTCTATATCATAAACATATAACAGTCTATTATAAAACAATAGGGTATAATTACATCATTAATCTAGTGCTAAGAGAAACCGGAATCAAGAATGCAAAGTAGTTGCATAATAAACTAAGACAGTAGAAATATCGAGGAAGACAAGGAGTATGACAAGGTGAAAATTGTGGGTAGATAAGAAACGCAAATATTTAGTGTCCACTTGATTTATAGATAGATAGATGGATGTAAAGAAGGTGAAGACTGAGACAAGGGTCATAATGAAGGTGACTGTAACTGTTATGTGAGTGTTAAGACCATGGTAAGAGATGAGAGATTGAACATACTCCTTTTGCACGCACAGATCAGGCTTGAAGTGATGAATTACCAGTGCCTCCGATGGGCACAACTATCGAAGGTGTACTCCTTTTCAACTATTCCATCTGACACGATAAATGACATTGAAGGAGGATTCTGGTCTAACTTTATGTCCAGAGTTGATCAAATGTTCAAGAATTGAACTGTTAATTGATTTACATTCTCCCCTCGACAACCATGCAGGATAGTGCTCCGAGATACGCTTGGAAAGCGTGCGCTTTGTGCGGCGTATATACCTTGCTCCACAGGAAGGAATAAGTAAATTTGTAGACACACATCAATGTGGTCCAAAGTGGTAACTTGTCCTTAACACACACCGGAATGAGATATTGACTAGAGAAGCTGATCTGCAGTTTTGCAGAGAAGAATGTCTTATTCAGTGATCTGGACAGCCGATTCTACAGGATCTGTGCTGCCGTATCGTCTTTGAAATCAATGTGCATAAACAAGGTCTTCTTAGGAAGTGTGAGTACTGGCTCGGTATTCTGGTTTACTTTCAAGTTGTTATCGATAACTGTGGATGGATATCCATTTTGTATGAGGATCTTGCGTAGTTTATCTAATTCTTCGTCAATAGTATCACTGGTGCAGATTATTTTGATTTGTGAAGATAAAGAATGGATTAGATTCCTCTTTCTGCTGAGAGGCATCCAACTGTGGAAATTCAAACATTTTCCTTTCCAAGTAGGCTTCCTATAAATTGATTGCTGAAGAGAACCATCTGGTCTCCGTTTCAATAAAACATCGAGAAAATGGAATTCCGAGTTTTCTTCAAATTCTTAGGTGAAGCTGATCGATGGGTGGCAATCATTGAACGTTCTAACTACAGTCTCAATATCTGTATTTTGATCAGTGATGATTAATGAATCATCCATATATCTTTTATATAGGTAAAAACTATCAATTGTTGAATGCAGCACCCTATTCTCTAGCTTTGCTATAAAGCAATCACCCAGCAACGGTCCAAGTGGCGACCCTATAGCAACCCCATGCTTTTGTCTATATAGATCATTGTTGATTTTGAACTGCACATTGAAAGTACATCTTAGAAGCAATTCCTTTAAATAGTGCTTTGGGATACCCAATTGAAAATTATTATCTTCAATGAACTAACATGGAAAGCAGATAGTTTCCGTGAGTAGGACATTGGTAAAGAGCTAGATCACATTCAGAGAAATCATTCGCTTACCGGATATGTTGACATTACTAATTGAGTTGACAAATTCGAAGGAATCCAATAAGCTATGAGTGCTTAGCTGTTTTCTAACTGGTTCGAGGACGTCAGACAGCCACTTGATGATAGAATGATATGGTGAATTGTCTAAAATTGGACGAAGAGGAAGATTTTCTTTGTGAACTTTCTTATCTACCAACAATTTTCACGTTGTCATACTCCTTGTCTTCCTCGATATTTCTACTGTCTTAGTTTATTATGCATCTACTTTGCATTCTTGATTCCGGTTTCTCTTAGCACTAGATTAATGATGTAATTATACCCTATTGTTTTATAATAGACTGTTATATGTTTATGATATAGAATATAAATAGGATTGTCCAGCTTTAGAAAATGATATCGTCGAAAAAGAAAATTTTCTTTACTGAATTATCTCCTCTCTAGAAATAATAACACAACATACGATTAAGGAGATCAAAGATTCTGTAGGAAAAAAGTAAGTACAAGAGAATGTCTGCACATCTTCTAACAGACGTGATATGATACTGGCACACTGTTTGGGTAACTACCACTTATAGCCATTACACCATATATAAACACATGACATCCAAGAAAAACATATCAACATTAGAACTATGTGTGCGTAGGTAGGTAGGTAGGTAGGTAGGTAGGTAGGTAGGTAGGTAGGTAGGTAGGTAGGTAGGTAGGTAGGTAGGTAGGTAGGTAGGTAGGTAGGTAGGTAGGTAGGTAGGTAGGTAGGTAGGTAGGTAGGTAGGTAGGTAGGTAGGTAGGTAGGTAGGTAGGTAGGTAGGTAGGTAGGTAGGTAGGTAGGTAGGTAGGTAGGTAGGTAGGTAGGTAGGTAGGTAGGTAGGTAGGTAGGTAGGTAGGTAGGTAGGTAGGTAGGTAGGTAGGTAGGTAGGTAGGTAGGTAGGTAGGTAGGTAGGTAGGTAGGTAGGTAGGTAGGTAGGTAGGTAGGTAGGTAGGTAGGTAGGTAGGTAGGTAGGTAGGTAGGTAGGTAGGTAGGTAGGTAGGTAGGTAGGTAGGTAGGTAGGTAGGTAGGTAGGTAGGTAGGTAGGTAGGTAGGTAGGTAGGTAGGTAGGTAGGTAGGTAGGTAGGTAGGTAGGTAGGTAGGTAGGTAGGTAGGTAGGTAGGTAGGTAGGTAGGTAGGTAGGTAGGTAGGTAGGTAGGTAGGTAGGTAGGTAGGTAGGTAGGTAGGTAGGTAGGTAGGTAGGTAGGTAGGTAGGTAGGTAGGTAGGTAGGTAGGTAGGTAGGTAGGTAGGTAGGTAGGTAGGTAGGTAGGTAGGTAGGTAGGTAGGTAGGTAGGTAGGTAGGTAGGTAGGTAGGTAGGTATATATATATATATGATATCGTCGAAAAAGAAAATTTTCTTTACTGAATCATCCCTTCTCTATGATTTAATAAGATAATAGTTTTTTTGTAAATTATTTACATATCCTTGACTATATATCATTTGTTTTTAATTTTAGCCAAAAAATGAAGATCCCAGTGAAGCATCACAAAATGTTTTTGCCTTTACAGGCACAAATCCTTCAACATCTTCAATAGTTAAAACAACAAGCAGCTGTGAACAAGTTCCATCGATTAGCTGGTCAGTTCGTCCATCTTTAACTACGACATCAAAGTCACTGGCGATAGCTTCATCTCACGAAATTATGGATGGAAATTCTGGCTTTTTTATGGTTGAAATTAAGTTGTTAAGTGATGAAGAGGTCCCATTACAAATGGAGGTTACAGTAAGTCAATAGTACACTGAGGTTATTGAAAAAAATTTATCTATCCTATTGCTTATTATCTGATCGTCCTAGCATGGGACTCCTCAGTAGTGTGCACCTGAGGCTCTGCCTCACTAGGGCTCGAACCCACGACATTCAGGTTTGGTGTCCAGCACGTTACCACTGAGCCATTGGGTTGACGGAATCCAATGGTCCATATTTCCAACTTCTGTCAGTTCACGACACAATATGACTATCACCCAGTGTCAACTTTGAGTATTTGCGTTCATCTCCACCAGGTTTGTCCCACTAGTCATAACTTCTCACTGGAACTTCAGGTATTACCTGTTAAAGCTGGTCAACAAAGAGCTAATGAACGCCGCGTTCGATCCCTGAAGGGGAGGGGCGGAATCGTTGGTGCGCAGTGCTGAGGAGTCTCATGTTGGACGAAGCGTCTGCTTTCCAGTGCTCCCAGGTTTGCAATGTTCCCCCAATTGATATCAGCTCATGATGAATACCAACTTGAAATCTACAAATCTCTATAAACCGCCAAACTGGATGCATTTTATTTCAAACCATAGATCTTTGTTTCACTATGTAGAATTCTTTATAAGGCTGACTGGGATTAAAGTGGCATTTGAAATAAAACATCCTATTGATCCAATTAAGTAGAATACCTTAGACTACCAAATCGTTTGAAATGATTGCGAGGTCAAATACATAGATCAAAATTATTCAACCAGCTGGGGTCAATTAGGCTCTCTGAACACAAAAACCTAGTTAAATCAAAATTGGTAGATCCTAGTAAGGTAAGGAATTTAGAAAAAACCTCAGCCATAAGCTTTACATGCCAATACACACAATCACACAATAGGATGGGACAGGGTGAAAGTCCTTAAAACTAACTAACGTAACAGGATGGAGGGGGAGATCGATAACTGAATCATTGTTCATCGAATCATCACCTAATACACACAGCAAGAGGAATATTTCAGCAGCTGTTCCGAATACCACCCATGTCACAAAGGAGGTCAAGGAAATTAGGACTATATAAAGGATATCTCAAAGTTGTGTAGTTATCTTGATATGACTATGGACAATAAATTGTGTTCGAAACGCAGTCCAGTAAATAATACTGACCTATTATTGTTATTATTATGATTATTATTATTTATTTGTCCCTTGGGTTCCTAGTTGGACATAGGGCTTCAATAGCAGGTCTTCATTCCACTCTCTTCTCTGTAATCATTTGAACCTGCCTCCGTGACTGTCCATGAGCTTTCATTTCTTCCTCACACCATCTCCCCCATATCACCCTAACCTCGAAAGCCCAACTTGTTGTTTCACATCTGGCTTCCACCCGAAGGCATGGCCTGGCGCGTTATATCCCTGAATGGTCTTCTCACTGCATGCCTAATCCATCTCCACTCTCTTCTCCTTCATATTTGTTGAGTGATAGGTTGTTGGCTGGTTCGTTGCCAGGCCGGAGTCCCTCCTTGCTTATTCTTTCTGTCAATCCATCTGAGCTTCAGTAAGGAGTGAGCGTAGTCAGTTGTTGATGAATATCTGTAGTTTGTTGGAAATGCTTTTCGTGATGCGCCAAGTTTCCCAACCATCACATAGAAGCACTGACTTGACTGAATTGGCAGTGTTGAAAATCCGGATGTTGTTCACGCTTTATACTGAGTGTGAAAGATCTCCACGCTGATTTCACATTTATGAAAGCCTGTCTGTCTTTTCCGATCCTGGTTTTGACATAGTCGTCTGTGCTTGTGCTGCCTGTAGTTAAAACGACGCTGCCTAGATAAGTGAAAGAAGTTACTTTTTTTAAGTTTCTCCCGTTGATGGTGATTGGTGCTTGTTGTTGTTGTTGGTGGTGGCTGGGTATCTTCATCACCTCTATCTTCTGCACATTCTTTTGCAGTCCTGTTTTCGCTGCCCTGCCTCTTCTATCAACTTGTTTGATTTAGCCTGTACATCTTTGAGTTTGTGCGACATTAAATGCAAGTCATCACTGGCGAAATCCAAATCTTCTGGGCTCATTTAATCTGTCAAACAGTAAGCACATGGCCATTTTCTTGCTCCTCACAGTTTGCTACATGATCCAGTCGACAACAATCAGGAAGATCATTGGTGATAGTAGGCAGCCTCATTTTGTGTTACCTCTGTCTTCACTTCCGTTGTGAATTACTTGGCATGTGGCGTCTTCATACAGCTGCTGTTGAATGAGATTGATAAAGATTTGTGGTGCTCCGTCGTATTGAAGCAGAAACCGCCAAATTACTTGTCGGCCGAGGTTGTCGAAGGCCTTTTCAAAGTGGATGAAGTTGAGGTAGAGAGTTGACTGCCATTCTATACTCTATTCACTCATGATGATGCGAAGCGTAGAGTTGCAGTTTAATGTGCAAATGATTTGTCTTTCCTGAAGCCAGTCAGCCAGCCTATTCTGGTAGTAATTTTGAATGAAGCGTATCCCTTAGTATATATATATACTGAATATTCGTATTTAGACATTTAAAAAAACTGATTGAGTGAAGAAATGTATATTCCTTTTCAATTAGGTCTGTCTTCATCTTGGACTCTACACTAATATGCATAATTTTACAATTTAATCCAATTACCAATCATGTGGTGTTGTCTCGGAAATAATGATATAAATAATGAGTAGAGTTACTAAGACATGAATATTGATAGAAACAAGGGGAAGGGGAACAGGTGTACAAAGTAAACCTAGAAGTTATATCATGTTGACGGCCACTGTAATGACAGTGGTCGAAGTAACCGAGTGCATAATCCATGTGATAAATGAATTGGAATCTGATGGATGATTTTGAAGGCTTTTCTAGTAACCACTTGATGTCTTGTGTCAATTAAGTGTGTAAGTATGGAGGTCTTTATTGTTTCAATTTGTCCCTTGTTCCACCATGATGAGTGGTGCTCAGAAATTTGACGATGGACCTGCCTCATTGTACGCCCAATGCGACTCGCTCCACAGGAGCAGTTGAATTGATAAATGCACATAGAAGTGGCAGAATCAGGCAGTTTGTCTTTATTTCTTGTACCTAGAATCGGGCGGTGGTTGTAGAAATCGCGAAATAATTTAGCGGCTAGGAAGGATTTATGCAAGACTCTTTTTATGCGTTTTGTGATGATCTTACTGGCAATATCACTCTTAAATTGCAGCTTCAAGAAGATTTGCTTCTTAGGAACTGTTGGCATTGTTGTCTTAACCCTCGTAATATTCATATATATATATATATATATATATATATATATATATATATATATATATATATATATATCATTTAGTTTCCCGTTTTTGTTCATGTTTATTGATATGGAATCAGCTGTCAATAAATGTGTACAATGATTGACTATATAAAGTTGGCTTTGTTTATATATATAAGACAAAAAAACCTAATGGTGTCGCATAACTGTTGATATGACTTCTTTAACAGTGATCTATGAAAGTGGGAGAGTCATTAACCTTCATTGATCATTGAACATTTGTTTTGTCTTATTAGTGTCATTTATTCTCAACACATTTCTAGCACTTAGATTATATTTACCGATGAATAATTATTATCGTTATGGAATGTTTGCCTTTGTAATTCAATATGACACACTCATGTTGTTAGATATTGACTGAGTGTAGAAATTACCTTAGTTTTCTTATATTCTAAATATCTTAACTGTAGTACACAGTTGGAATTGATCTTAACTACTATAGTAATACTGACTTACTCATATTATCAGGCGTCAGAATCAATCAATCAATATCACCATGGAACCAGGCATTACTGCGTGGTAGTCCACATTGACGTGCTTCATAAAAATACAACAAGTAACTAAGGAGTCAGATGATCTGCGCCAATGACATTCGATTCCGAGCTATATCACTCACAGTCTCCAAACACTGGTTTCCACCATCACGTAGACTCCAACCGGCTAGTCTGTACTCCCTTCTACATGACTCAAACCACCTGTCAGTTACTTTATGCTGTAATGCCATGTTTAAGTCTGACTACCCCGAGCTTTTTTCCAGCATGAACTTACTTCACCCAACGTGCGATGAGGGAGACTATGACTGGGCATGCCAAGCATATGTCTCAGCCACCTTAGTCAACGAAGGTTCACAACCACATCAACTGACTTTCATCTCCTTCCTCCCTAAAACTCTACACCTGACTTCTGAGTTACTGACATGGTGACACCATGACATATTGTCTACTCTGACAAGGCAATCATGGTGCAACACCTGAAGCCTTCGCTTGTCCTCTCCCTTTAATGGTCATATTTCACAGTCATACAGTAGAATTAAGCAACCTTCAGAACAGTACACTCAACCCTTAATCGACAATCGGTTATCGTGGTGGTGACACAGATAACGTAAGTCGAGCTTTGTGCATCCATATGAAGGTATTTTTGCTCACTGACTCATCGGTCACTGACTTCGCATATATGTGTTGTTCAATGCACTCAACAACTTATTGTTAACTGGGGCCCTACAGAAGACTAGTATTATCAGGCGTACGTGTGTCATGTTTTAACATTAATGATTGTGTCATTGATCTAGTGTTACAAAAGTGAAAAATGATACGAAATCGTCAATCTTCAATCTAAATAATAATGAGGTTAACAGCAATATTAAGCAATCAAGAAAATTCAAATAGTTTTCAGATATGAATTACATTTGTTGACTGTCTAGCTTGCAGATACAAAGTAGATCAATACGAGAAACATGAAACTTTTATAAGGTGGTATTATTATTATTTGTCCCATGGGTTCCTAGTGGAACATAGAGCTTCAGTAACACGTCACCATTTCACTCTCTTCTCTGTAGTCTTTTCAACCTGGCTCAACCAATGTTCAGAAGCTTTCATTCCTTCTTCACACTATCTCTTTCGTGTCACCTCCACATGCCCAGCTCGTCGTTTCCTATTTTGATCCCACTCAACGCGTGATGTCTCCAAACCATCCTCTGAGTGTATATCAAATCCAATCCATATCCACTTTTTTCT